TGCTTCTTCTTTTTTTTTTTAACAGTTTTTTATTTTATTTTTATTTTTTGACAGGCAGAGTGGACAGTGAGAGAGGGAGAGACAGAGAGAAAGGTCTTCCTTTTGCCGTTGGTTCACCCTCCAATGGCCGCCACGGCTGGCGTGCTGCAGCCAGCGCACCGCGCTGATCCGATGGCAGGAGCCAGGTGCTTCTCCTGGTCTCCCATGCAGGTGCAGGACCCAAGCACTTGGGCCATCCTCCACTGCACTCCCTGGCCACAGCAGAGAGCTGGCCTGGAAGAGGGGCAACCGGGACAGAATCCGGCGCCCCGACTGGGACTAGAACCCGGTGTGCCGGCGCTGCTAGGTGGAGGATTAGCCTAGTGAGTCGCGGCGCCAGCCTCAAGTCCCAGCTCTGCTTCTGCCCCAGCTCCCTGCTGATGCACCCCTGGGGAGGCAGCAGTGCTGCTCACGTACTCGGTCCCTGCCACCTCTATGGGAGACTCGGCTGGGCTGCTGGGCCTCTGCTTCAGCCTGGCCCACCCTGAGGGCGGGTGCCAGGAGCCCCCCAGGCCAACTGCTTCCTGCAAACCTAGCCCCTTTCGTGCCCTCTCCTCCCTCCATGGGCGCCGCGTCTTCAGGCCTCTGATGCCTCCTCTCCTGCCCAAGAGGGGCCTGCCCCCACCCTGTGCCTCCTTTCTGGACGCCAGCGCCCGCTGTCACCCAGCCCGCATGAGCCTGGGATTCCAGGGGCATTCTGAGTGCCTGTGTCACACGTCTGAAATTTGAAGGTTGCTAGGCGTCCTGCATTGCCTCCGGCGAGCCCCAGGGCCCTCCCCCGGCCTCCCGGCAGCCTGCAGGATCCAAGGGTGCTGGAACCCAGCGTCTCCCTTGCTCAGAGGGGAAGTGGGAGTCAGGAGCTTGACCTCAGCCATGTATCCGTATTTTTTCTGCCCACGTGGTCAGGAAGCACACGCAGGTGAAACCTCCCTCACAGCGCACGGCGCGGCCGGGGCGGGGGCGGAACGGGCAGTGCGTGGTCACCAGAGGAAAGCCGCCTGCCCGTTCTGCACAGTGTGGGGAGGGCAACGTAGGGAGGGCAACGTGGGCCACAAAGCCCCCAAGGGCGCCCCCCTCCACTCAGCAGCAGGAGCACGGGCAGCAAGCCCCCAGAACAGCGGCGTTCCGACACAGGAGGTGCCCACGGTTACGTGGCTCAAATGATAAAGAAAGGTGATGAACTTGGCAAACCACCCACGCGTGCCCACGCCCTTCCCTTCCCAGTCGGCATCGACACCGTGCGTTCAACACCTTGGCATCCAGCAATAGGAAACAACGCCCAGTCTTCACCGGAGGGAAGAGATTGGACAAACCACCCTGTGCTGGCTAAGCCGACTCAGTTGAGGGGGAGGGCCAGGTGCTGCGGAATAAGTGGAGACATCCAGAAAAGGAGCGGCCCCGAGCGGCTGGCTTTGTAACGGCACTGCCCACGGTCAAGATGCAGGAAGCAAAGCTGCTATGGGGGCGGGGGTGCTGGGGTGCAGCGGGCTAAGCCGCTGCCTGGGACGCCCACACCCCACACTGGAGGCTGCTCCGAATCCTGGCTTTCAATCCAGCCCCCTGCTACTGTGCCTGGGGAGGCAGAAGATGGCACAAGTGCTTGGGTCCTCTAGCCATTGTGGCCATTTGCGGAGTGAACCAGTCAAATGGATTCTGTCTCCATCTGTCTCCCTTTCAAGTAGATAAAAAAATAAACATTTTCTTAAGTTCATGGAAAATGGAATTAAAAGATTTTTTAAAGGACAGGATAGCTGGCTAGCCATTTGGGGATATCCACATGGGTGCAGGGGCCCAAGGACTTAGGCCATCTTCTACTGCTTTCCCAGGACATAGCAGAGAGCTGGATGGGAAGTGGAGCAGCCAGGACTCGAACTGGCACTCATATGGGATGCCAGCACTGTAGGCGGGGCTTTACCCCCTATTCCACAGCACTGGCCCTGGGGAAATTTTTGAATCTTTATCTCATTCTGCATGAAATTTGGTGTAGACTGACCAAGGAAACAAATGGAAGCACGCTGCACTGAGCCACCGCACGGCGAAGCAGGGGCCCGGCGCCCCAAGCCCCAGGTCCCCATGCAGCGAGTGGCTGTGCTGGGTCAGCAGCCTTCCACAGCAGGGCTCTCCATCTCCTGGGCCAAAGAAGGCCCTCCTACCTGGAAAAACAGGCGCACACCCCTGCACGCAAGTTAAGATTCCGGGTCTCCAGGTTCCAGCTTTGAGGGGCTCCCGGTGTGGGGAAATTAGTTACACAAAGCAATTCCAAGATGGTGCCCAGAGGAAGGAAGGTGGGCGGAATCCAAAGTTGTTTACCACCAAAGCTGACTGGCCACGCAACACCAGGGGAAGTGGCGACAACCGATAGCAAGTGTACAGACATGGCCAGTCCTGTGAAAATCGTCCCGTAACATGACCCTTTCAGTGACTGGTTGGTCTTTATGCCCTGCCCCAATGACTGCAGTTTTGTGTTATAAGAGGCTCTGTTACGCGTGAGATAAATGAGTTCTTGCTGGACTTGGCTCCCCGCTGCGTCTGATCGTCTCCGGGATCGGGAGGCTGGGGCACGGGCGAGCGGCGCACTGACCCTTCCTTGGACCCAGTCCATCCTCGTGCAGGTGGACTGAGACCCTGCACCCCGGGCTCCGTGTTCCTGCACATCTTAATACTTCAGAATAGGAGCTGTCACAACACCCAGTGACTGATTTCACAGAAAATCCGCCCACGTACCCTGGGAACGTCACCTCCGGGCCCCTGCCCCTCAGGGGGCAGCTCCGTGGCCTGTGGGTGCCCGAAGTCCTCCCAAGGTGACCACACCTCTTCCGCCCCACCATGTTCACTCATGCATGGTGCCGAGTTCTGGCCCACTTGAGCCTGGACACGGGACCCACTGTCTCCTCCCCCACCGACCCCTTTGCCCATCTGAAAGCCACTCCCTCTCGGCACCCCATCCCCCAGCTCCAGGGAGGCCACGTCACCCAGGGTCCCACGGGAGACCTTGCCGCCAGACGCCGCCTTCGACAGGCTCCCTCGTTGTCTTCCTGTCATGGACTCTCCTGGGAGGTGGAGTTCTTAGCGTGCACCTGCATCCCGGAACCCCACCCCCACCCCCGGCCAAGTGCACTGCACACACCTCACCCCCGGGCTGCACAGCCTGTAGTGTGCACACCGTGCAGCGTAGTGAGGACGTAGTGAGGACGCACAGGAAGGTGTGCAGTGCTGGGCCCCGACTCACCGGAGTTTTTTTTTAAGAGATTATTTATTTGAAAGGCAATGGGGAGGTGGTGAGGAGGGAGAGAGAGGGAGTGAGATTGTCCACCTGCTGGTTCACTCCCCATATGGCTGCAGACAGGCCCAGGCCAAAATGCAGACAGGAGCTGCTTCTGGGTCTCCGTGTGGGTGCAGGGGCCCAAGCACCTGGGCCATCCTCCACTGCTTTCCCAGACGCATGAGCAGGAGCTGGATCCAAGGGCTGGCGTGGGCTGCCAGGCCCCACCGTGAACCAGAACGCAGAGTTCCACGGAAGCCAGTGAACACCAAGAGCTGTCAGACCGTGCCCAGCCAGGGCCGACTGCCGGGCCAGGGGCAGGCTGCGTCCACCAGGGCCACGGGGGTCCAAGGGAAAGGCCAGCAAGCACAGGCGAGACGGGGGAAGGGAATCTCTGTGTAAGAGTCTGGGGCACAACATACACGTCAGCCCTACACACACACACACGGCCCACCACACACACCAAACCACCACACACACACACACACACACAAAACCATTATACACGGCCCACCACACACACACACACACACACACACAAAAACACCACACACGGACCACACACACACACACACACAAAAAACCACTACACACGGACCACCACACACATACACACCACACACGGACCACACACACACACGGCCCACCACACACACACACATACGGCCCACCACACACACACGACCACCACCACACGCCCCCCACCCTGTCGCTCCCCCTCTTCATGGAGGAACGACACTAAGTCCTGCCTAGGCTTCATATCCGAGTCACGGCACCATTATGTCGCTCCCCCTCTTCGTGGAGGAACGACACAAGACCCTGCGCTGTTCTTTCGTCTGCTCGGCCCTCCCCGGGTTTGCTGCTGGTTCTTCCCGGGTTGGCTACTATCCCTTCCACCTCCGTGGAAGGGCAGTTCCCCCTGGCCGCATTCCCCACTTCCGCAGGGGAGCGGCACACCGCCGGCCGGTTCTCTCGGGGGCTGCACGGGTTCCCTTAGATGTTCCCCATAGATGTTCCTCATGCATGCCGTCTCTCTCCTCCTTTATAGTCCTCCTCCGCCAATCCTAACTCGGCTGCCCACACGCCGAGTACGCTGCTCTCCAATCAGGAGCAAGTCCTACAGTTTATTGGTTGAACTGGAGGCAGCTGGGTAGAAGCTGTTTTCTCCTCTCCCAGCGCCATATTGTAGGAGAGCAGATGCATAGAATAAGTCTTAATTCCAGTAACTTAGTCTAGTCCGAGCTGCTCCCCACAGAGGAGAGCAGATGCATAGAATAAGTCTTAATTCCAGTAACTTAGTCTAGTCCGAGCTGCTCCCCACACCACCCCCCACCACATACACACATACACACAACACCACACATGGAATACCACACACACGGCCCACGACACACACACACACCAAACCACCACACACGGACCACCACACACACACACACACGACCACCACCACATGGCCCCCCCCCACAGCCCACCACACACACACACGGCCCACCAGACACACACACACACACACACGACCACCACCACACGGCCCACACACACACACAGACGGCCCCCCCCCACACCACACGGCCCACACACACACACCCCACCACACAGCCCACACACACACACACCACCATACACAAACACATGGACCACCACCACACACACAGACCACCGGCCGAATTCACACGACTGCATGGCAAGCGCAGAACCCTGTTATAAAGTGATTTTATTAAATTGATTTGGACATACTGTAGGTCAAATAATATTTTCTGAAGATAACAATTATGGACCTTAAAGCTCGACATAAAATTAGTAGCTTCCAAAGTGTTAGTCATCCTCCCCAGCAACAGCGTGATAAAATAATTCAACTATGTAGAAATATAGAACTCTAGGACTAGCTGGAACTCGGAATCATGGAGCCTGCCATCCTCACTGCGCGAGGAAACCCAGACCCGGAGATTCGGCGACTCGCCCAAGCTCACGTACCTAACAGCAATAAAGCTAGAAATCAAACCCATCTTCTCCTAAAACTAAAATTCTATCAGTGATATTCTCAGCTGGCTGTCAACTAAAAGTCTAGGCTTTTCTCGAACGCTCCACACTACCGTGGCAGGAAGGGGTCAGCGGCCGCGTCCACCGGGCCTGGAGGGGCTTCAGCAGATCCCGAAGCCGGCCCTCCACGGCAGGGGAGCCCTGGGAGGGACTCGCGGGCCGGCAGCAGGAACAGCCAGGTGAAGACCCTCGGCCCACCCACTCCCGCTCCGCGTGTCGAGGTCTTAGAGACAACCCCTTCCAGTTCAACAGAAATTAATTCAAATATGGAGACAATCAAGCTTTGCGTGTGAGTCCTCACCCCCCGCCTCAGTCCACAAACAGCGACTCGGTCACCCACTCAGAGCTGCAAAGACCCTCCATGTCCCCAAGGACTTCCTGAGCAAAAGGACTGCGTGTGGGAACTCGGCCCGGAACGGGGAGGAAGCCACGTCAGACACGGGTGCTCCTGTCCTCGCTGTGGGGGACTCTGGCCTTCAGTCCGCGAGTCCCTCCGACCTCCTCAACGTCAACCCAGCACCGAGCAGCGCCTGCCTCCCCGCGGCCCACCACCCCCAGCACCTGCCTTCTTCCTGTCCCTACACTCAGGGCAGGTCCTGGAGCGAGCACCCCATCCGGGGCTTCCCTGACCACTAGCTATGTCACCCCACCCCCGCCCCGCCCCCACCACCCCACACCATCACCCTAGTTTATTTCTCCATAGCACTTAATCACTACCTCAAACTACACTACGTACTTGCCTATCGCCTCTCCTGCGCCAGACCAGGTCGGCAGGAGCAGGCCCCTTGCTGTCTGCTTAGAGGTGTCCCCAGCACCAGCAGTGCGCGGCACACAGCAGGTCCTCAATAAATACGCGGAGTGAACGAAGCAAGCAAAGGACGGTGAACTCACGGGGCTGCAGCCCCACCCGCCGTGGCTGCCCCGTCGCCCACGCAGCACGAAACACCCACCCACCGGCCACTCAGCAGGGCGCCCCTGGCGGCCAGGACCGCGCGCCGCACAGGGCCCGGGGCAGGGGGGTTCTGGATGCAGAAAATGCCCCCTTTGCTTGCTTCTTCCTCTCTATTTACATTCAGCTATTTTGGAAAATTCAAGTTAAAAATGTGATGCAGCCACTGGAACACTAAGTCTGAGTGACAGGGACACAGTGATTAGCAGATCCACGACACTAAAGCCGCGTGCAGGGCGCCCGCCCGCCAGTCACGGGCGGGAGTCACCTAAAACCTAGCCGCGAGGTCACGCCATCCAGGAAGGGGTCTTTCCAGGTACTCTGAGGACACTCGGACAACGGGGTCAGGAGCGCTGGGACGCGTGGAAGCTGCGTGGGCTTGATCAGAGCACGACCCTGGGGTCCGTCCCCGATGGCAGTAACCAGGAGGCTCGAGTGAAGGGGAGGACGGGCCTGAGAGCTGCGGGGACAGCCCGGGACCCTTCCGCTCGGAGGGAAGGCGGCTGGGAAGGCCGGGCGGCGCCCACGGCCTGCGGTATCTGCACGTGGGGGATTCCTGCTGGACTCCCACACGCACCCCTGAGCAGGGCCCAGCGCCCGCATAGGCAGACCCTCACAGGGACTCCACGGTCACAGCCAAGTCCAGGAACAAACTTGGCATGAACCAGAGAGCGACCCAACACGGCCTCCTCAGGGGGACGCTGGCCAGGGCCGCTGCAGGTTATTTCTTGGGACAATGTGGGTATTTACAGGGTCTCCTTCCTAGTGGCACTTATGGGTTTGAAGATTTTTAACTCAGCACACCTCACATAACTGCTATCTTGAGATGGTTCCGCTCCTTGGTGTGGACCCTCTGGTGGATGCACAGGCTCGTGCTCTGGCTGAAGGCCTTGCCACACTCGTCACATTTGAAAGGCTTCTCCCCCGTGTGGACCCTCTGGTGGATGCACAGGCTGGAGCTCTGGCTGAAGGCCTTGCCGCAGCCACAGCATCTGTAGGGCTTCTCCCCCGTGTGGACCCGCTGGTGGATGCACAGGCTGGAGCTCTGGCTGAAGGCCTTGCCGCACTCGTAACACTTGTAGGGCTTCTCCCCGGTGTGGACCCGCTGGTGCATGCACAGGCTGGACGTGTGCCTGAAGGCCTTGCCGCACTCCTCGCATTTGAAGGGCTTCTCGCCGGTGTGGACCCTCTGGTGCATGCACAGGTTGGAGCTGTTACTGAAGCCCCTTCCGCACTCACTGCAGACATAGGGCTTCTCCCCAGTGTGCACGCGCATGTGGATCTGCAGGTGGGAGCTCCAGTTGAAGGCCTTGCCGCACTCGTAGCACTTGTAGGGCTTCTCCACGGTGTGGATCTTCTTGTGCCTGTTCAGCTTGGTGGTGGTGCTGAAGTCCTTGCCGCAGTCGTCACACTTGTACACCTTCTCTCCTGTGTGGTCTCGCCCGTGGCTGTGCAGCTCCGATATGTGGAAGAAACCCTTGTCGCACTTGTCACACTTGTGGGGCTTCTCGGCCGTGTGGCTCTTCTGATGCATAAAGAGGTCGGCTCTCTCCGAGAAGAACTCCCGGCACATGGGGCACTTGTAGATCATCTTTCCTATTTGGTATCGCGAGTTCGAGAACACGTCCGGACACGCAGGCTGCGGGACTGCTGTCAGCCAGTCTCTCACTTGGCCATGGCGGCCGCCTATCTGGGGCTGGCTCCGCTGGGCGGGCGTGCGGCCAGCCTGAGCGTCTCCCTGCCTGCGTTCCTACGGAAGGCTTCTTCCTGCATAGTGCCCCTCCCAGCGCTACAGCGGCATTCGCCTCGCGCGCCTCTGGACTCACTCACGAAACCCGCCTTGGAGATCCTGAGTTGTCAACATTCCCAAGGGCTGCCAACGCCAGAGCTGGCGGCCGAGCCCTGGGGCCTCCGCTCGTGGGGAAGTCCCGGACGCTCCCTTCGAGGGAAAGGACCGCACAGTGTGTCCCCCGCGCTCGAGGGCGAGCGTGCCGGCGGTCAGGAGCCCCTCGGCCTCGCCGGAGTCAGCACATCTTCCTGGCTCCTGGGCTCCGGCGGGGAATTCCCTCGTGGGCAGCACCCGGCCTCCTGCAACGAGAGCACAAACAACTGCGCTGAGCCTCTTCTGCGGCGCCCACAGGCCCCACAGGCCCCCTGCAAAGCGACAGCAGCGACACAAACCTCTCCTGACCTTGAGGCGCGACTCCCTGACCTCACGCGACGGCGGCTCCTGGACGTGCAGGTCTGGAGAAGAGAACCGAGATGTCAGGCCTGCTCCCGGCCCAGCTGTGTGCCCCAACTGCAACCATGGACAGGCAGAGTTATCCAAACACCAGCACGGAGAACACGGTGGGGCAAAGGAACCCTCAAAGACCGACACCGGAGTGTCGCCAGCAGCCCGCCCTGCCCACTAGGACCTCCCTGTGGAGTGCAGCAGGCACAGTGCCGGTGCCGGGCTGTCACTGCTCACCCACAGCGAGGACACGGACAGGACGCACCTGCTGCCACGGCATCTGCAGGGCCCGGCAGCCTCGCTATGGCTCTCCACACCCCAGGCTGCCTCAGGGCCTCTGTGCACGTGGTGCCTCCCCACGCTGCAGGGCTGTGCCAGGTGCTGCTGCCTGAAGTAGGAAATGCCCCTGGCGAGTCTCCTGCATCTCAGAGCACACGCAGCTGACAATTATCTCATCTGTTCCTGCTTTCTGATCTGTCCACTGCGCGAGGAGGGAACTCAGCCAGGAGCTCAAAGCTTCTCCAGAGACAGACGCCTAGAAAAACCACACTCGCGTCCATCTTGTCTGTGGGGCTCTGCCCAAGGACACGGGTAAGAGCAGGAAGCGACTGACAAGGCAGTGTTTGCCACACCGCGTGGGGGCCACCCAGGCCCAGCCGGGCCCTCCCGCACCAGCAGACACCACCAGGGCAGGAACCCAGGGCCGCTGCATGGGAAGCGGGCGAGGCACAGGCGGCGCCGAGTGGGCCCTTCCTGGCTGCAGCGGCCTGGGTCTGCGTGCAGAGAACTCGGTCACGGTCGCCCGGAGCATCGACGGACCACCTGGGTGGCAGGAAGGAACGCAAACGAGGTGAAGACTTGGGGGAAGACACTTGGCTCCGCCGCGCGGGCTTGGGACACACACAAGTTGACAGATTCCAAAAATAAAAACACACAGAACTGGAAGAGAAAACAGCCTCCAGAATCCTCAAGCGAAATAGAGAATGAGCCCTAACTGTCCTGCTGGTGAGGCGAGCGCAGGAGGGCAGGCGTGCACACCCTGCAGGCCCAGCCACTGACACGGAAGCCAAGCTCCGCTCCAGCCGGCCCTGCGACAGCCTGAGAGGCGGCCAGTCCTCACGGACGCTGCTGGGAACCAACCGCGAGTCGACAGAGAAAGTAAGCACACGCATCAGGTCCAGGGGAAACCTCCCTCCAGTTTCTTCTCTGGGAGCTCAGCTCACCAGCACAGCCTGGAGGCAGCAGGACCAACGGAATTCGCACGCGGAGCCCTGGGGGAAGGGAGGTCTCCCTTACACAGCAGATGCCCCTGGCCACACAGGACAGGGACAGCGCCGGTAAAGCCATCAGCTGGAACACCGCATGAGACCTACACACCTGCTGTTCCCCGCAGCGCGGGGCAGCGGGCAGGCAGAGAGGAGACCCCGATGCTGGACCAAATGGAAGTAGTGAGGGCGCCAGCTCTGAGCCTGAAAACTGGCCGGCAGCAGGAAGGAACCCAGCCTGGATCCTGGTTTCCTCCAGGGGCTTTTGCAAGGCAAGGAAACCCCCTCTCACACGAGGGCCCTTAAGGAAACACCTGCCTCGGCCCACCAAGGGAAGCCTGGCACTCACCAGGGTCAGACAGCAGTCACCGGTAGCCCCAACCAGCCGCAGCCTGCCCTGGCACGGCAGCACAGGGTGTGTCAGACCTGATGGTCTACCAAGGGGACCTTCGCTGCCATCTGGCGCACGCCAACCTGCCACTGAAGACACGGCGGAGGAGTGGGGGCGGGGGCGGGCCGCCTGGCAGCCGTGGGAACCTACACCCACAGGGACAAAACAAGGCCGCCGGAGCGGGTCTCAGGACACTCGGCTAACACCAGGAAGGGGCAGCAAAGGGCAGAACTGCTGTGGGGGCCAGGCCTCCAGGATGGACACACAGGTGACTGGGACACCCCGCGTGTGTGCGGCCACAGCTCCTCGGGTTAAACCCTACCATCATCTCCCTGCTCGTCCTGCGGCAGCAAAGCCCAGGCACTGCGGAGCTGCAGGGGAGCTAAGGCCAGCCCCAGTCCAGCCTCAGCGTGTCCAGGACAGTGGCAGGCAGGGGCCGGGGCAGACACGCAGACACGGCAGAGGACAAAGCTCGTGGGGCTGCAGGCCTCCCTCCCTCCCTCACGGGCCAGGCCCAGCAGGCAGGTGTGCCGGGCCCCCCGGGGAACCACGGGGCAGGGGGCAGGGGTCAGGCAGGGCGGTCATCAGGCCACGAGAGGCTGGCTCTGCTCAGAGCGACGGGGCTCCCGGGGCTGCCCCTCTCGAGGAGGAACCGGGCCGCCACTGCGTCCGGGTAACACCATCTCCTAGTATCCCACGGGGGTAGGACACACACCCTGCGGGCAAAGAAAGCACAACAAAGCACAACAGAGGCTGGCAAGTGTGTCACGTGACTGACCAAAGCCAGAAAGACAAACCAACGGCCACGCGGTTCCTCTGCTGCAGATCCACAGGCCCCTGCCCCCATCCTCACAGGAAGTACAGGAGCCCCCAGGCCGCACGCACGCTCCCCAGCCTCCTCCCCCACGTCACAGGCTTGGCCCACCCAGGCCACCTGGCACCCCAGGCAGCAGCCGTCACTCCTCACTCGGAGTCAAAGCCCGGCTCTCCTGCTTCCAAACAGTGCCGCTGCAGGCAAGGTCTGGCATGTCCACTACCAGACGAGCCGTCTCCACGCCTGCAGCTCTCCGGCCTAGGACAGCGCGCAGCACTGACCTCAGTGCCTGGGTACAGCCAGCACCGCGCGTCCCTCCTCCCACCTGTGCCAGCAAACACAGGGGCGCGCGGCCGTGCACACTCTGCTGCCACCCTCGGTGGCCTCGCTCTACCCAGCAACCACGGGCTGTGAGAGCCGAGCTCCCCGGGCCCTGCCCTCACTCCCAGTACAGGCACAGGTGCGGCCAGGACCCGGCTCAGCCAGCACAGAGGCGCGCGACCCACCACGACCTGGGGCGGCTGTGCTCTCCTCGCCGCCGTGCCCATCGCCCGCCGCTCACCGCCCAGCAGTCAGTGCGGCACCGGCTTCCCAGCAGCCACTATCACGCTCCACCTGCCTTTGTCCTCTGCCAGAGCCTGAGTGGGACTCCAGCCGCGACACACACTGCCACCACCGCCGTCAGAAAGCACCGCCCAGGCCCCTGCCCAGGCCCCCAGAACTGCAGCTGCAGGCTGGCACCGAACGCGGGCCTCACGGCGCCCAAGCTGCCGAGGCGCTGGCCGGGGCCGTGTGTTCCGGGCGGGCCTGTTACCTGAGTGAAATGCTCTTCGCGAAGTGTTCTTGTGGAAACCCCAGCGCACTCCACCCTCCCCAACGCAGGGGGCTGGGCAGTGCGCACCCAGCTCAACGCCTGCTGTCGGGGACAGTGGCCCGAGACCCCCTAACCCAGCTGGCACCAGCTTCCTGAGCAAGGGGGACCTGGCCTTCTCTCGCAGTCGCTCCCCCGGGGGCTCCAGCTTCGGAGGCAACGCTGTCCCCGCGCAGGCGCAGAGCTCTGGTGAAGAGGCCCTCCGGAGCCAGGAGCCCGTGCAGGCTGCAGACGCCCAGGTAGAAAACTGCCTGGTATGAAGGGACTACCAAGCCTCGGCTGGCCTGGCACCGCGTCAGACAAAGCCACGGGTTCCAGAAAGGCCAGGGAATTCCTTTCCAGCTTCATTTCTGCGCAGTTACGGTGACCAAAACAGCAGCCCCGGAAGCGCCGTGGGCGGAAGCCTGCGCCACCGCAGCGACCTGCCAGGCTGTAGGTCTGCCTCTGCCGAGTGTGCCGTTAGGAAGCGGCCATTTTTCATCAGAATGTCACGCGTCAGCACGCCACGGTTTACTACTCGGGAATGAATTACTGCCGGGGCCAGCGCTGTGGTACAGCAGGTTGGTCCACCACCTGTGATGTCATTTCCGAGCAAGCTCCCTGCGGATGCGCCTGGGAAAGCAGCAGGGGATGACCCCCGTGAGGAGCCCCTGCACCCACAAGACGCAGATGGAATCTCAGGCTCTGGCTTTGGCCCGGCCCAGCCCCAGCCGTTGCCGCCATTTGGGGATTGAAGCACAGGATGGAAGACATCCCCTCTTCCCCAGTAACTCTGCCTTTCGAATAAATAAAAATAAGCTAAAAGGTTTTTCATTTACTTATTCCCTTCATCTGAAAGGCAGGGAGACAGACAGACAGAGCTCTCCCATCCACTGGTCACTCCATCTGAAGAGGAATGACCGGGCCAGACCAAAGCCAGTGTCCAGGAACCCCACCCAGATCTCCCCCAAGGATGGCGGGGCCAGGCACTTGAGCCATCACCTGCTGCCTCCCAGGTGTGCGTCGGCAGGGAGCTGGAAGAGGAGTGCAGCCGCACTCTCGCAGGGGATGCAGGCGTCCCCAGCGACATTTAACCAGCGCAAACGTTCGCCCCCAAGTCCATTCTGTGAATGAGGAAAAGTGGGGTGGCCCAGTGCCTTCCCAATGCCCACTTTGCTGTGAAACTTGAAGCAACCTTAAGGGACAGTCATCGAGGTCCTCCACGATACTTCAGAGACTTTACACACGAGAGGACTAAGAGCTGAGCACAAGAACCACACTTCACAGGGCTTTTTTTTTTTTTTTAAGATTTTATTTATTTGAGAGGTCGGGTTACAGACAGTGAGAGGGAGAGACAGAGAGAGGTCTTCCCTCCGCTGGTTCACTCCCTAAATGGCTGCAAAGGCCAGAGCTGTGCCATCTGAAGCCAGGAGCCAGGCGCTTCCTCCCAGTCTCCCACGCGGGTGCAGGGCCCAGGTCCTTGAGCCATCTTCCACTGCTTTCCCAGGCCACGGCAGAGAGCTGGATTGAAGCGCAGCAGCCAGGACCAGGACCAGGACCAGGACCAGGACCAGCACCCATATGGGGATGCTGGCGCCACAGGCAGAGGATTAACCTGCGCCACAGTGCCGGCCCCTCACAGGGCTTTCAGAAACTGTCACGGGGCCAGCGCTGTGGCATACCATGTTAAG